CTACGAAAAGTGAGGCCAATGATGATAACATCCACTGGCAGTGTCCTCAACGATCCATTTTTCGAAGTTCAAGTTCGGTTCCTCCAGTAGAGAAATAAAAATATTAATAATGACACATGTAAAATACGAAACGGATAATGGAATGGTACTCGCGCACGGTCAAGCGAACAATGGGGAAGCTACTAGTGAGGTGGAGAGGCCCCATGATACGCCTACACGGTACTATGTGGTTTCGGAGAGCGGAGAAGTTGCCAGTTGCATTGATGGCGCGACAACAAACGTCGATGACATACAGCTGCTCATGTATTCAAGTATGTAAAATATAAAATTTTATTAAAAAAAAAATAGTTGAATGGGCACCGTTTATGCTCCAATACAGCATTTCAGCTTGGCATCGTCAGTACGACGGTTGTGGTGTTGATAAGGGTAATATGAAATAACCTATATAAAAAATTAGGCCAAAATTTCTTTAAAAAATAAAAGGGGACAGTTCTATTCATTCCTCCAGGTAATGGGCTATGAAGAAAGCCATTAAGTGTCAGTTAACACTTAGAACGAACCCAAACGAACTGTAGAGGGATTGGTTTCCATATGAATTGAACCTAACTCAATACTGAACAGTACTGTTCCTATTTACACCTAACAATTGACGATATATCACTGCAGGCCGCTTGGGGATCTTCTTTTCGCAACAGCAAATATCCCTGTACCTGCGCCGGACTAATATCCACGCCCAGTGCAACCGCAGCATCCCGAAACTTCGTGGCCATTTCGGTCGTTGCATTACTTCCATAAAAATGCTGGAACATCTAAAAAAAAAAATCAGGGGATTATCAATTTTGCGGTTCTATCGAACTTGTGGTAAAGTGACGGTGCAAAACTCAGCTGCCAAGCACATAGTTTACTGTTCCCCGGAATTATTTGTTAAGCAAAGGGTGTTAAAACTGCTAGGCAGAATAACGCATCTTTTGCCAACTGTTAAGCAGGGACGATTAATTTGCGAAGCAACTAATGCGTCTAAAAAAAGTGGCCTATGAAATAAGCAATATTTAATATATTATTATTCACTGAGTTAATAAGCAATGTTTCTTTTAGGTTCGCCGTGAGAGGAAAGGAGTAACATTCCTTTTCTTTCGTTATATATCCTTTAGGTTCCATATAAACCCCAATTTCCCCTTGGTCCTGGTCTCATGTACAACTGAAACTCCACGCTTTTCTTACATCGTCAATTCTTCAACTCAATTCTTCTCGTCAACGTCCTCGCACTCATCAACTAACCCCAGCGGATACTTGTCAGAAATCTTTTTATCCCGTCCCGATACTCCCTACCATCCATGGTTAGGCCGATTTCCTAACATCATTGATTGCTCACTGCTTTCTTTATATCTGATAAACGCTTCCTTGCGAGCCCCCTCCCCCCTCACTCCCCTTCCCTCCTTCTCTCCTCCCCTTACCCCCTCTCGCTTCTCTCGCTGACAATCACATCCACCTAACATTTACTAATCCTTCTTTATTTTTTGGAGGTAACAGTGATGATGGCGACAATTTTTGCTACGGTCTTTATGCTTTGATGATTTTCCGGCAATTAGTCTCTTCCTCCTTTCTTTCAGACCATCCGGTACACCGATTTCCCGCACTGTCTGTCAGTGTGGAGTCGCCTCATCAAAAAAGTATGCAATGAGAAACAACAATGCCAAGTTGTTTTACACTTCCTCTTAAGCTTTTGTTACTTATACAAGGTGCAAAACCAGCCTTAAAGAACATTGTCGCAGTGCAGTAGCCAAAATACTGCTTCACGTCGACACGTCCTGGACGGATTAGTGCCGGATCGAGGCGCTCGATGTGGTTCGTTGTCATAAAGAGGATTCGTTCATCTGCACTTGCAACCCCATCAACTGCATTCAGCAAACCCGAAAATGTCACCCTGTGATAGAATCAGTGTTTTCGGCACATTATGAAATTTCAGACGCCTGGCAGAGTTCTGCTCGCTATCCGTCTAGCCGTAAGTATTACAGAATGTTTTGCAAAATAAACGCTGAGGATTAGTCCCTTCAATTCTACCATTGAAAAGCAACAGTGACGGGGTTCTGTTTAATTCAGTGGCAACTTGCTCTGTATTAGATCCTGGAAATCAAACATTCTTTGATTTGGTGACAAAGTGGGTCCTTCTGTGAACGCAGCAATAACGTGAATGTGTCTGCGTGAGTGGGAGTTTGCGTGGAAGAGTTAAATATGCTCTTCCTAGGCATCAAATTGTTCGATCATGCTTTACCTGGTCAGGCCTTCATATGCTTTTGAGGACTGTACTGGATCATCACGGGAGCCAAAAGCAGCATCCACATCTTCGAGTACCACTACGCTCTGCAATCCATGGAAACGGTCAAAATTTCAGTTCAGGGACGAAGACAGTGATTTTTATTGAACTGGAGGCGTCTCTTCGAGGGAACACTGATCTGGGATACAAAATACTATGGAGCTGATCTCAGTCAGTCAGCAAATCAGCAGCTTCATGAATTACTGCTGGCTAATGCTAGTGAATTGGGGCACAAATCTTCGATGCTTTTGGCGAGTGGAAAGGGGCTACACTCATTTTCTTTTCCAGCTGAAGTTCAAATTCAGTAAGCAGCGATATCCAACATTCCAGGTAACTTTTAAGCTTCTACAGCTATGCTATTTAAACTCAATAAGTACCGAGTTCCAACATTCCCGAGCTCGAAATGGACTCCCTCCCTCCACCTCATCTTTGCTAAATCCCCCAACAAACTTCCTCCGTTTCATCTCGGCTCGGCAAAAATACTCACATAAGGTGGCGGAGTGTTAAGCAGATGATTCAAGCGATCGTCATCGAGCGTCCGTTCGCTTAGTGACAACAAACATACACTGTATCCAAAATGGCTAGCCAGTGCTGCAATGAAACTGCTTTT